GATGGACTGAGTTTCTTAATAGGGTGCGATGTTGCTCAGTTTACTCGTCAGGATTTCTGTTTGATCTCGGGGCTTCGTTTTGAGGAAGTGCCTGAAGTTTCCAGTGGAGAAAGTGCTGAAATTAGACTTCAGAAAAGATATTTTATAGACGAAGGAATTACATGTAATGCTTTAGAAGAAGCATTTATGAGGTGCAAAGAGAGAGATGACGTCTACAAGCTAGCTCTTGTTTACTTTGCTGAGTTAGTGGTTTTGGGAAGGGACAAGCATTTGAACATCAATGTAAATTACCTGACCCTTGTAGAGGACTTGGATGCGTTCAACAGGTATCCGTGGGGTTCGGTGTCGTTTGACAAAACCCAAGACAGTCTATTTTCTGCACCAACAAAGTATATGAAAAGCTTTGAAAATGAAGAGGGAAGAGAGAAGGGGAAAAGTAGGGTAACGGGAACAAGCCGGAAAAATGAGAAGGGCAAGAAGCATAAGCATGGTGAAGTGCAAAGGGGTGGGTGGAGTTTTAAAGGTTTCACGTATGCTTTCCAGGTACATGGTAATAATGTTCATGTCAGTTATGCTTTGTGAACTTTAAAACTTAAATAATGACTTTTGTCCTGTGAATTGTGTAGATTTGGGTATATGAATTAATTCCTAGAATGGTGGACCTGAATTACTGCAAGGTTGTTGATCCAACAGCTGTCCCGCGTATTTTGCGATGGAGAACGACTACGTCTATGCCCGAGATGAGGAAGTTGAACAATTATTTTTTCCAGAGCAAAGAGGTTTGGTTTGCAGCCCTTGAAACTGTTTATAAGATTCAATGAAATTATTAAGTAGAATGATTGAATATGAATATTGTCTGTATTCTCAAACAGTCAGTTCAATTGCGGGCGCTACGTCCGAGTGAAGAGGAAATGAGACAATCATATTGGAGTTGGCCACAGGATCGCCCTGCTGTTGTCTCGGCATAGTCAATTCCTTCTTCATGTGCTGATCTTGATGAGTTGAACAAGCTGGTAAGCTTGTTGAGGTCCGAGTTGTTTCAAGTAAAGTGGGAAAATGACGTCCTTGAGTTAAAGGTCATACGGATGGAAAACCTTTTGGACCACTGTTTAGGTCCTCAGTTTGAGCAGGAAGTAAGGAGGGACCTAGCTTTACTAAAAGAGAGGACGAATCGTTGTGCCATCTCACATCTATTTAAGGGATCTGACGAAATGGATGATAGTGAATGGGATGAAGGGCCAAGTAACAGATATGAGGGAGAGGAAAAGAACGAGGAGGGGATTGAAGGGGGTGAAGTGCATAGAAAACCAAGTGAGGTAGAGGAAGCGCAAAGGAAAAGAAGAGAGGGAGAGCAAGTGAAAATAAAAAGCAGCAAGGGAGAGGAAGCGCAAAGAAAGAGCAGTGAGGGAGAGGAAGTGAAAAGAAAAAACAGTGAGGGAGAGGAACTGCAAAGAAAAAGCAGTGACGAAGGGGAACTGCAAAGAAAAAGCAGTGATGGAGAGGATCCGCAAAAAGCTGTGAGGGAGAGGAAGTGAAAAGAAAAAACAGTGAGGGAGAGGAACTGCAAAGAAAAAGCAGTGACGAAGGGGAACTGCAAAGAAAAAGAAGTGATGGAGAGGATCCGCAAAGAAAAAGAAGGGAGGGCAAGGAAGTGAAAAGAAAAAAAAGTGAGGAAAAGGAAGTGCAAATAAAGGAATGTGAGGAAGCGGATGATGAAGTTGTTTTGGTTTGTGATGACATTGGTGAGAGCACGGCGGGGACAACTGTTGAGTTTACTCTTGGGGATATTGATTTGGATCAACCTACAGTTGTGCTATCTGAGTTGAACGTTTGGTTGAATGATAAAGGTAAAGCTGTGGAACAAGGGGTCCAATTACGAAAGAGAAAGAGGATTATTCCTATGTGGAAGATCATTGAAGCTAGTGAATTGGTGAAAAAACCTGTGCCAGAGACAGCCCGACTTTGGATGTTAGACCCAATGAAGGCGATTCCGCATGATGATATGGTGAAATTGCTGAAACTTTGTTGGGAATGGCGCCTTAACCCAAAGTAAGTCCCTTGTTTTTTGAGATAGAAGGCATTAGTGTATATATTTTTAAATTGTTGTGATCTAAAACTTTGTTATATTCACAGTTTAGTGATGCAATTTGGCCACGTGGAAGCTGAGATTGAATTCTTCGCTTCCCTCGTAAAAGCTGACGGTTGGCTGACAGGAGATGTAAGTTTAATTGATTATGCATTTGTTTTAATGTACATAGATTATGAGATTGACCAGAAAAACATGTGCAGCACATTGATTTGGGGTTGTATCTCATCCGGAAGCGACAACAAGATTTGGAGGTTGTAGAAATATCGAACTGGACAACGACCGATGTATTTTTCATGGTATGTCATAGGGCTTGACCAAGTGCAGTTAATAATTACAAATTATCCATACTTGCTTTGTGGAGGTGTTTAACCATTGATTGTTTTCTATTTCACAGAATCACATCCATACTTGCTTTGTGGATAATAAAAGAAAAAAAGAGCAGGCTGGGTGGAAAATTAGAAACAATTTAGTGAACGTTGTAAATGGCAAGGTTCCGGCGTGTGGGGTGGATTGGCAGAACGTGTATAAGGTGTATGCCCCTTGTATGTTGACGAAGCATAAGAATTGGGTGGCTCTAATGATTGATCTGGTTAAGTGTGAAAGCAAAGTGTACGATTCAATGGTTTCACTTATTCCAGATGAGATGTTAAAGGAAGAACTCGCCCCGCTTTCAATTACGATTCCAAATCTTCTCAACTCCATCGACTTTTATGAAGAAGGTGTTTACACAAACGACTGCAGCAGAGATTGGTGGTGTCCATGGCCAATAGAACGTGTGGATGTTCCACAACAATCTAATCAGTGAGCACAACTTTTTCTTTAATTTTATTACTTGAAATTGTCAATTACGTTACAATGTCATTACTTGAATTGATCGAGTTCTTGATTTGCTTCAGAGGCGATTGTGGCATGTTTGTGTTGAAGTACATTGAGCTTTTGAGCGCTGAGATTCCGTTAGCTACTTGCACCGCGCAGAACATGCCCTTTTTCCGGTTGAAGTTGGCTGCAGAGATATTACGGGGAGATGCTTACATGCCATGATAGTGGTTGAAATGAGTTCAGGTACGTGATGATTAAATTGGTTTTGGAAATCTCCAATTTGAAACTCATGTAAATACACAATACAGATCCACGGCTCCTTTTTGAATTCTACCTCTGCTCCTCAATTCTTCTTCGTCTTTCTCAATCTTAGTGTATTTTTGTACATAATTTTAAGTTTAAGTTATTGGACAACAATTAGAACCAAAATATTATTATAGCGGATGCATGCTTTCATTTTGATTAGTGTGATACTACGCTACGTTTATTCTCATATTAGGCTAAATGTATACAGTAGCTGGATGCAGAGCATAGACAGAAAAATGAAGAATCTGAAATGGAGATGCAGAGGCTTAGTGAGGAGAAAAGTAAATGGATCTGTAAATCTAGTGCACGTGGGCAAATGTAAATGGATAGGCATATGCGTTTTTGAAGTTAGGCACATACCATTCCCATACATAGCCCTAACTCCTTCACGACATTTACATAACCTTAACCAAACTGCATTGAATTGGGATTGGAAGACTGCATATGTGAACAATGACTGATGGCTTTTTAAAGTGTATTACATTATTTATCCAAGCCACCATTCCAAATATCAGATCCCAATCTTTAAGCCGTTCACCATGCCTTAACTTAATCGCAGCCACCATTCCAAATATCAGATCCCAATCTTTAAGCCGTTCACCATGCCTTAATTTAATCGCAATGGGTTGCGTGTGTATTGATTGTAATTCTGTAAGGGAAATAGGCGGCTATGCCCTCGCCTCCAATGTTTTATTCAACCATGCCCTCTTTATAGAAACACATGCGATATACATGCAGTAACCCTTCAGTAAACATTCAGTAAACCGTCAATAAACCTCAATAAAACTTCAATAAACATTTCCCATCTGCAATGCTATAAAAACTTCCTATTGGTTCCGTACCGCCCATCGGGTTTGAATCCCTCTTTCCTTTATAATCGGTTAATAAATTCGTTGATTTTCTTTATTTTATTGGTCTTGGGAAACTCAGTAGCATAAAAGTAATGTATATTGGTGCATCTATATTGCTTGTCTATTGCGTCTATATTGCTTGTCTATTGCGTGCATAGCGTACATTTATTGCGTGTGTATTGATTGTTTATTGCTTACGAAGGAAATAAACAACAATACACAGGCAACAGACAAGCACTATACACGCAATACACATGCAATCTATACGCAATAGACATGCAATATACATCAGTCCCTAATTTCACCATCCATAAGGGAGTCGTTCTTCCTACTAATAAACAATCAATAAACCTTCAATAAACATCCAATATCCGATAAATAACATGCGATACACATGCAGTAAACAATCAATAAACCTTCAATAAACATCCAATATCCGATAAATAACATGCGATACACATGCAGTAAACAATCAATAAACCTTCAATAAACATCCAATATCCGATAAATAACATGCGATACACATGCAGTAAACAATCAATAAACCTTCAATAAACATCCAATATCCGATAAATAACATGCGATACACATGCAGTAAACAATCAATAAACCTTCAATATACATCCAATATCCGATAAATAACATGCGATACACATGCAGTAAACAATCAATAAACCTTCAATAAACATCCAATATCCGATAAATAACATGCGATACACATGCAGTAAACAATCAATAAACCTTCAATAAACATCCAATATCCGATAAATAACATGCGATACACATGCAGTAAACAATCAATAAACCTTCAATAAACATCCAATATCCGATAAATAACATGCGATACACATGCAGTAAACAATCAATAAACCTTCAATAAACATCCAATATCCGATAAATAACATGCGATACACATGCAGTAAACAATCAATAAACCTTCAATAAACATCCAATATCCGATAAATAACATGCGATACACATGCAGTAAACAATCAATAAACCTTCAATA